GCTCCGAGCGAACTAATTAATGTACACGCAAACAACTTGGGTAGCATATATTTGTACAGGTTAACCAAATTGAGGTCGTCAAAGGGAAGCATTAAATTTGTAATTTATATTATTTTTAATAAACTTCAAATATATTTCTTCAGTTAAATTTAATTTATGTAAAAAATGCGAAATTTTAATATTCGTGTTTACGACGAAAAATGATTAAATTTATTAGGACGAAGTCAAGTTATTTAAGTAACTTTACAAATTACTCTACTAATGGAAAGCTCTTAAATAAGTAGGATAATTTAATTTTTTATCTTAATATAATACTAACAAATTATCTACACTAATATAATAAAGCGTAAACACACTACTTTGTGGCGTAGGATGTCAGCAGTCACAGCATATATTTGAATAATTCTTTCTTTAATCAAAAGCCTTGCACTTATGACACGCTTTATATTTTCTCACTATTAAACTTAGGTGCTAAATAAATTGAATAAAAACCCTAATGTGGGAAAGGGACCATAAGCTTTAAGCTGTCAACATCAAGGAAGTAAGATTACCATGGTTTGTCATCATGTCATATCATTTTGACATTTGAAATTGATAATTTGACAAACGTAAACAATAAAATAAAATTTTCATAATTTCATGCGGTTGAAGCCGCATGGCAACAGCTAGTTTATAAACAATAATTTATGTGAAGGATGAACTTGTTTTTGATGTTTATTTTCACCCTTTTAGTACATATTTCTCCTATTTCATATGAGTTCAAATTAAAGGTATTTAACTACACGTGTCCATGATTACAGAGAAAACGTACTCGAGGGAAATCCGCAACGGAAACACTTCAAGCAACCCACAGAGTAGCAACGTTTAAAGGATTCCAGGCGATAATTTTACGGTACTTAAACATGATCAGAGGAAACTTTTTTCGAATTTAATGCTAGTCATTTATTATCGTACAATTATCTGTAACAAAAAAGATTTTTCTCTAAAAAAGATTTAAATTATCTTACTCTTACTAATGTTGTAAATGCGAAAGTTGGATTTAAAAGTAAAAGACAGGGTGGATCTTTTTTAGAGTTCGTAGCCTAAAAAGTTGAACGTATCTCGATGAAATTTGGCACAGATGCTAACAGTTCGACTCTTCAGTTAAAACTGTACAATTTACAGCAAGGAAACATAAACATTGGATTTGTTAAATAGATTTTGAATAATGTTAATCTTAGATAGAATTTATCCAACGGAAGCAACGAAGACATAAAATTTTTGTATCGTAGAAACTTACATATAAAAACTAATGTTATCCAGCCAGTTTCTACAGACCTTATCCTGTCTGGTACATGTGTCCGTGGTCTGCGTCTGTGTGTGTTTGTAAGCGCATGTCTCATCGCAACAGGTGGAGGTCTCGTGCGGTTATCGATTTGACGCTATACAACGTTTAGGGTTGTCGCACAGTAACTCAGCTTTTGTTAATAAACAAAGAGCAATAACATTTTAATATATGTTTCAGAACTAAACCCACGATAGAATAAATAAAAAAAATATAAAAACATAAAGTAGTCCGTTTATCTAGAATTCTAGAATCTAAAAGGGAGAATTAACTTTCACAATAGATTTTAAGTTATATGCGTAGATTTAGATGCGGTTAGGCAAATTTAGGCTAAGAAAACAACACAATGGTTTGAGGTTTGTCCAAATGATCGGAATAAAGGATTTTAACACATAACAAGAGTTTACTTTGTTATGTAGCTTGTGATATCATTAAGTAATTCCTTTTCGTGAATGGAGAATTTAACTCTCCATTTCCATAACAACAATACGCGTTGAAAAATATCATGAACTTTGTTTAGTGTGCGTCAAGAATCTAATAGGGACGCCTGCAATAAAGTAAGACGCAATGTGCGGCGGAATGTCTGCCGGGTGCTCGCTTCTGCTTAGATGTACAGTTTGCTGAACTAATGTGACATTAAAAAGAAAAACAAACCTTATTCTAAAGTAATAAGGTTTACTAACATTGCTGGAGGTATCTAAACACGTAGGGTTGCATCTCGATTATTTAATTAAATATCATGACCATATTTGTAGTTCTGTCACGGAGGTATGATTACGCTTTAGAGGTTTCTTAATGGCTTTAATAAAGGGAAAAAAACTTTATGAAAATTCTTTTATTTTTCTATTAAGTTCTAAGCTTTTATGGATGTATAACGCAAGGTTAAACTAACTTTAAGTCAGATAAGGAATTTCTTTAGTGGGTTTATATGGTTGCTGAATTAGTTGTTGGTTTAAAGGAGGCGGCTGAAGAAAATTGATGTCCGTTTTCTCCTATTAGCTCGTAAAGTATTCTCAGATAGATGTCTCTTTAGGTACGAGTATCTTTAAGCCTAAAGCAAAATTAGGAACTTAGGTAATATTGGAGAAAAAGAAGTTACCAGTGACCCTTAAAATTTTTAACGGACCCTTAAATTTAAAGGACTGGTGAAACCAGCCACTAATCAAATGAAACGTTACCGCGATAAAAGTATTAAATTAAAATTATATGAATATTAATAAGAAGCATTCGATTATGTTAATTTTCGTTAATTATCAATTTTTTTTAAATGAACATAAATTCAGTAAACATCGGCGTATGTGATCTTGTTTGACGTAATTCTCAGCAACGGATGTCCGGCCTAAATAAATTTATAAGTTGCACTACAGGATGTTTTAAAAAAAATCGAAAGTTGTTTTTTGGAAAAAAGTAGAAAAACGACTTCAAAAGTATTGAGTAAAAATTTGTTCCGTCATTCCATTGTCCATATTTGGTAGACTTTGGTTACCGAATTCTTTCTTTAAGTCTTCTGTGATTTATTGAGTGTTTTATAATACCATCTATTATCTCATTCTATCTATTGTATAACCTGGTTATAGCAGCCATGGGTGTAGCAAGATACAGATGCTAAAGAATCGAAAAAAAAATCGATAAATAAATATAAAAGCTACCTCGAGATACTATAGATAAATCATATACTACTCAATTTTTATTAAAAAATGAACCAAATGTTAGTTAGTTTTATTGAAAAAAAAAATACCAATAAATCCTAGAACTAGCCTAGCCTGATAATGCCCTTGATGGCAGTGTAGTTCTACGGTTAATACTTCACTCGGTCACAGTCGTCGTGTTACATAAACAAGTGTAAAAAAAAACTCTTTCGTAAGTAAGTAAATGTCATGGATGGATGTTTTCGTAAGCCATGTTCGCACGCTGAGACCATAATTAAATATTGTACAATAGTATTTACGATTTGTTACCCCTGGAATGTAAGTGAATATTGCGTGTAATTGTTTTTGATTTTTAATATTTTGTTACTTGATGTTTGTATTGCAAAAGGGTAATCATAATGTCAATGTCTACAACTTTCAAAAGATTTACATGTATCGAGAAAATTGTATAAATGGTAAAAAACTGTGTTCACCAACGTCTTAGGCGTTTAGTTAAAAAAATGCATTCGAATCTTTATAATAAAACTACTCCTGTAAAACTATTCTAAACTTTTATATTCCGATGTTGAAACTTCAATCCTATACAATGTGTAATCCGATGTGTAACATCTTGATTGTTAACACATTTTTAATGTGCACTAGCTGTTCCCGTGCGACTTCATCCGCATGATATTATGAAAAATTTATTTTATACTTTACGTCTGTCAAATTATCAATTACAAATGTCAAAATGACATGACATGTAACAATCTTGCTTCCTTGACGTTGGCAGCAACTTATGGTCTATTTCCAACATTAGGGTTTTTATCCAAAATATTTATTTACCCCCTAAGTTCAATGGTGTTAAAATATATAGCCTAAAGCGTGACGTAAGCGTAGAGCTTTTTATTAAAAAAATATTATTCAAAAATATGCTGTAATTGCTGAAATCTTAGGCAACAAAGAAGTGTGTGTTTACGCTTTACTATATTAGTATAGATTAACAAAAGGTATTTGAAATAGCCACTGAGTAGATTTTTTCCTATAGGCAGGTATGCACACTAAAACAAAACAAATGTAAGCCCGGTTGGGCACAAAGAGAGGCCACATCCGACAGGGGATTGGGTGCAGTAATGATCCGGGATACATCCCGGTTCAATACCATGCACCCGGGTGAATCTTCCATTCCTCTCACACGCTATACGAGTGAATAGTGCGGACAAACAACACAGACGCTTTGCATCTATACATTAATTTTACGAGATAAACCGTGACATTTACGGACGGTGGAATAAAAACTTTGTAAAGAGAAAATATGCGGGGGAAATATTTTATGCATTCATTTTTATCTCATGAATGAATTACAGGAGACCTAATATATCATTTTCCTTATAGGAACGTTTATGACGTTACTAAGTAAAGAATGGTCCCCTACGTAACACTTAAAACTACCATATATCATCCACAAATGTTGAAACTAGATTCGAACCCGAATCCATTCGACATTAAAGCGTATTCGTTCACTTCATTAATTTATACTGAGTTAACACGACATGGAATTTTTAATTAAAATCGGATCAACCAAAGTATTTTACGATTCACAGAGCACATGGGTTTAATTAACCGAGAATTCGATAAAGCTTTCATTTAAATTATGATTGAACTAACATTACTTTTATGAAAGAAAAGTTATACACATTAGTAGCTACTGCTATATATGAAAAATAACACGATTTAAAACAAGTAAAGAGATTAAGGGCATGTCCCACTACTGGCTGATAGAGGCTACTATAGCTTAAAAGTGACGTCACTGATAGAGTACCAGAATCCGATACTTCCATCATATATTTTATACGTTGTTATCTGACAATTTACAAGAATTGTGGGACTAGCCTTAATTTGAAAACAAAAAAAATAAAATCAATGAGCCTTACCTCGCCTTTAAGCCGGCAACACACGTATAGCTTTAATATAACATTCGACAGGTTTAGTTATAACTGACGTGTGTAGACATTTAAACTATGCTCAGTACTGTGAATTCGACTCACCCCGATATGCTGTCCATCAACGAAGAGTTGCGGCACTAAGATCTGGTCACTCTTCATTCTATCTCTGATCTCGTCTTGATATTCCATGCTCATGAAGACATCTCTTTCCTCGTACTTCACCAGCAGGTTCCTGAGGATCTTCTTTACCAGCATACATCTCTGGTAAGTACTTCTTACGATGCCCATTGTAGTTGTGTATAACACTACTTTACCGGCATCCTTTTCTTTGTAACTCTGCAAATGTAATGGTTTCAATTAATATCTACTTCTTTCTATGATACGTAATTACACTTCACTATGAATAAGACAAATTTTGCCAGAGGTTTTTCCGATCCCTCTTTTTTTCTTTTGTAATAAATGTTAAACAGATCATGAAGTGTGGAAAATGATTTGAATAAGAGTAGATATCCTTAAAAGTTTTTTTTAAGCTTTTTAATATTACTTGCTAGTCAAGTAATTTAAAATTAACGCCATCTATTTCAAAAATACTGCACTAGTTATTTAAACATGTTATTATTTGTCACCTAATAAAATGTTAACACAGTATCGCCATCTTTTGAACAGTACTGCCAAGTCAGAAAATTATTCTAAAGGGCCTGAATGCTAAACCAAATTCTAAGATTTCGTTTAGATATATGCTAGATGGCGTATTTATGTCACCTCTTTTAATAATAGATAGTAACCACTTCTAAAATTTATCGAGCTAAAAATTCCCTTTTATCTTTTATACAAAACGTTCATTGCTTCTTTGAAATATAAAAAAAAAACTTTTTCAATGAATTGGCAATGGAAACCTACTTTTAGAATAACCATTCCTATATCTTTAGTGGAAATAGGAACAAATAGCAGTAACATATTAAAGAACATATCAATACTATGAGAAATACGCAAACTACTTACAACCAGTAATTTTGTTATCGACTAAATGGCAAATTTAGCGGTTGCATGCAAATGTCATTGAGTTACGAATAAACAAACAGGATTCGTTTTAAAACATCTGTCTCGCTCACACGTATTTATTTCTATAATAGGGTTACCACCATTATAAAAATAACTAATAAATACTAATATATCAGTATCTATGCCTAATTGACTAACATGTGTGCGTCAATAGCAAAACTTAAATTCAGTAACGTATTTCAATATTCAAAAGCTTCACATTGAAAAAAAATGTCCTAAAAAAATATTAATATAAATTTAAAAAGCACTCTGAATGTAAGGAGGGATTTAATAGTTCACTCTCCCAAATTATTTGCATCGCACGTCAAGTATAATGCTATGTATACGTAAAAGGAGAATATTTTTGTGCACAAATTTTATTAACCAGTGAATGAATTCTCTGCTACTGTCAAAAAGTCGCAAAAAGTGATGCAATTATTAACTTATGCAAATGTGTGACGTAAATTAACACATCTCGTCCGGTGCTAAATGATTCAGTGCTGCCATTACCATCACTTATATAATCTGTGAAATTGTAGTGTAGAGAAATGACGTAAGATGGCATTGTTTCCGCTTGATTATTTTTTCACTGTGTTATTGTTTGTGTCTATTAATATTTTAAATTTTACTTTTCGCATGGCTAATCAGATTTTAGTTAGCAGAGCTTGATATGTTTATTATATTTAATCAGCACATTTTTTTACACTAAGCAATTGCCAGTACAAATAAAATTTGTCTTACGCCCCCAACAAAACTATTAATAAATCTAACAATTACATCATTCGGTCTACTATATACTATTAATTTGCATCATAATATATTGCGTACATTAAAAAATGGAGAAAATATATCTATCACATTATAAACAACTTTAGCCAGTCTTGCCTATACTGGATGTAGAAAGTGAAGATGTTGGAAAGCTGTCACTTGGCCGCATGTGTAGGACATCGTGACAGGTTATCATTGAATTAGCGGTGAAAATGTCCGACTCCGCCCGTGTATAGAAATACGTAATATATGCTAATGTATTTTCTCTTTTGCTGCAGTTGCACAGCGTTTGCATTTTATGATATTCTTAAATTAACACTTTATTATCTAAATATGCTTATTCACACTTGATTTGTTGTCTGTTATTTAATATGCATTTGTGTAACTCAACGATGACATAGCTATAGGATTTATTAATGAACTAGCTATTGCTCACGACTTTGTTCGCGCGGATTAAAAATGCATTTTTAAGTCGTACATGTTCTTGCAGACATTCACTTAGTTCCGAATATAATAACGAACATCGATTCATACATCCATTTAAAGTTGCATTTTTAAGTGTAAGATAGTAAGAAGTTAGTTGTAAAGTATTTTTAAATGAAGTCAAAGTGGATTTTTTTTATTGGAAATAGTTATAAGAAGATTATCAGAAAATTAATAAATTAGATGTTATTTTACTGCGGACTTTTACAACTGGATTAGAGAAGACGTAATGAAATTAAAAAAAAACAATTAAACACTCGTTGATGTCTTATTTATGAAGAAATCTTAAATTAACTTTAAAATCATTAATTTTATCTTTTTTAATCTTTTTTAATGATTACAAAAGCATACTTTAGTATCCTATGTAGGCAATATTTAAGCAACGTATATCTTAAAAACATTTCTCCCTTTCTGCAATATAAATTAAAATGAATAAGACGTCAGTGGAGCTGTATAAAACCTTTCAGAATCTTCTATCAGTTCTTTTATAAGGCTTATTATCTAAATGTAAAAGGGTATCGTAAACTCAAAGTTTAGTCCACTCTCCTTACGAAAGCAGAGCTATCTGCACTCAGCACAACACACTTAGCAAGGCACCGTGTGCGATTAAGACCACACCGTTAGCGAGAGTGACCAGAGGTTGGAAATTCCTAGGACAGTCCCAAGTTTAATTACATATTTTATTCGATTCCTCTGAATTGTTAATGTTATTAATTGCAAAAGTAAGGAGATACGTATGTTTATTACTTAGTATTTCTTAGATTCTCTAGACTTAACTGATCTTGTTTAAATTTAGCAAAATATGTAGAACAGAATTACTGTAATAGTTTTTTAAAATATCGCGAACGGAGCTGGGACCAAAAGCTAGTTTTATACTTCACTGATTTCATATTATATTAATATTGCACTAGAAAGGAGTTATATCATAACAATGTAAGAAATTAAATTTCAATTAAACTAATACATAAGTTATGAAATTGTTTATTGTTAGTTATTTTATTTAAAATACAATAAACCATTGTTCATTGAGTACTAAATGAAGGAAAAGCTAAGCATGAAAGCCTGTGCACTAAAGCTTGTTGCATCATATGACACATTAAGGCTTAAGTGGAAAACATTGCAAACTAGATGTCAACTCGAAAGCAAAGCTATTTTACAACAACGGTACCTGGTCGTAATGATTTGCAATATACTAAACTATCATTAAATAGGGTAATTCTAAAGATTATATCGCACACCAAAGTAAATGTAAAGAAAACTTTGTTATACAAATTTTTAATAGTATAAATTTTTTATCTTAGTCCGTTTCTAGATTGACAAATTTGAAAAACGGACGGTGACATAAACGAGAATACTTTTGTATTGTATCATTACATAAGAACAGAAGTTAAACTGGATACATATTTTATTTATATTAAAAACAATTATGAGGTAAACTCAATCTTTCTGAATATAATTAGTACTCGTAGTAGTTTAATTAAAAAAAAAACTCAATAAAACATCGTGTAATTTTCTCTAGTTACTCGAAAATCACCAAGACATCGAATTGATTACTGATATATGGTAAGCCATGCGTGCGATCTCAACCACTTATTTAGCATACCAACCGTCGCATTTTCTACAGTTACAAAATGAATTAACGCAGCATACCGATAGACTATCATTACGAGTCGCACCACACATGACGTAACGGATACGATACGTTATGGTCTGATTATAAAAATGACGTAGAGTGTAAAAGTTTTACTGCACGCCACCTTCGATCGTGAACTTCGTTACGATTCGACTAATGAAGTCATAAAATTTAAAAATAATTTATACTAAAGTAAATCGTTTGAGTTAAATTCTCCAAATCTTATTTGTTTAGTAAAATATTAGTCGCAAAACAACTTAAGCCAGGTAAGAGCACAAAAAGCCTATATTCAATTTACTTATTTCTCAAAAGAAATGCGTGGGTTTTAATCCAAAAAGGTATGTTTTTCGGGAATTTTTTATTGTCTCTTTCTAACCTCGTTGAAATCTATATAGTTCTCTCTTTCTAACCTTGTTAAGGCCAAAAACGTAATAAAATTCCAAATCAATGTTATTAACAATTTGAATACAAGACATTTTTGAAAGCTGGCTTTACAAGGTTCTTAGCATAAAACACGTATTTTAATAAACCAGATAGATGAGAGATATCAATATTATATGCCTACTGTAATACCATATGTTATATAATATAGTGTTATAAACTTAGGATTATTCCCAACCGTCACCCCGCTCTGTCCCCACGTGGAGAGAGATGAGAATATAAAGTTTCATTCGGCTCAAATTTTGCGACGAGGAGACGGTTGGAATTATTTTATTCCATAAGGGTTGCTGTCACCTTATTGGTGCTAGTGGGACTAAAAGGGGGGACGGGTGAAACTTTTTCTTCTCAAGTGGGAAAAGAGCTGGGTGACGGTTGGGAATAATCCTAAAGACCAAATCACATTAATAATATAACAATACCATTTTTATTTATTATGTCATTTACGTGGAAACACTGCATTGCACTTAAATATTAAGTGAATCCTTGCTTTGTATGGTTCTAAAAAAAATTAATTCCTTTCAGTGTCAAATTGTACAAACAATCAATATTTTTATAATAAAACTAGCTGTCGCTTGCGTGAAATTAAAAAATATAGTCTATGTTACTCACAGATATATTACCTTTCTAATAGTGAAAGAATTTTTGAAATCGTCCCAGCAGCTTTTACGTGGATCGAATATATACAAAAACCTAAAAATACAAATCTTTCCTCTTTATAATATTAGTATAGAAGTATAGATATGTTAAATATGTCAATAATTCCTTAAAAATAGTGGAATGTTCACTATGAACTTGAAGAGATAAAGTGGGTTAACAAACCCATCAATAGTAGAGGTATATTTAAATTGCCTACTTCACCGTTCCCCACTTTTCCTTGGAACCGGTACACGCGAGCCACGGATCTTCCGACTGGTTTGCCTTACAAGGTCGATTTAGATCGTGACTGGACATTGGACTGTTAAGTCGCAAC